TTCGTAGGTGTTATTTTGAAAGGTCACTGAGTGAAATGTCGAAGGTTGATTTACATATCTTTTCAGATGCGTCGTTTACTGCCATCTCAGCTGTTGTGTATGTTAAGGGATTTTTAGAGGGAGATAATCATGTAGGATTTGTTGTTGGGAAAAGCAAACTTGCTCCAGAAAAGGGTCACACTATACCCAGGCTTGAATTATGTGCTGCAGTTTTAGCTGTTGAACTGTATCAGTCTGTAGCAAGTCATTTATGTGTTGATGTAAACACAGTTAAATTCTACACAGATAGTAAGGTTACTTTAGGTTACATTTGTAATCAGTCCAAAAGGTTTTTCACGTATGTTAGTAATCGTGTCCATAAGATTGTTAGTGTATCTAATCCTTCACAGTGGAATTATGTTCCCTCTGAACACAATCCTGCTGATATTGGTAGCCGAGGTGCCAGTCTTGTTAAGTTACTGAAGAGTTCATGGTTATCAGGTCCAAAGTTCTTGCAAAGTGATGCAAATGATTCTAGGCCTGAAAGTTTTCCTCTAGTAAACCCCACTCAAGATAAAGAAATTCGCAAAGAGATTTCTGTTATGGCTTCAAACGTAAAAGACTTGAATTTCAGCATGGGTTTGTTTGAAAAGTTTTCCTCCTGGCTAAGTTTAATACGTGCAGTTTCTATATTAAGACATATTGCCATTTCCTTTCACAGAAGTTTACCATGTAAAGGATGGCATATCTGCCCACTCTCGAAAACTTTAGCCATTAAGGAAGATTCTGTGTCATGGGTATTGCTTCAAGTCCAACTTGAGGTATTTTCAAAGGAAATTAAGCTTCTTTCTGGAGGAGAAAGTCTTAACAAAGACAGTAACATTTTATCCCTTGACCCGGTATTAAGCAGTGATGGTTTGTTACATGTTGGTGGACGTTTGTGCAGAAGTCAGTTGTCTCGGGTAGAAAAGAGTCCTATTATCTTGCCCAAAAAGCATCCTGTAGCTGAATTATTGGTAAAACATTACCACGAGTCGGTTGTGCATCAGGGCCGACAGATTACTGAGGAGCCCTTAGGTCGGCAGGTTTCTGGATTATTGGAGCTAAGCGATTAGTTTCTTCTGTCATTCACAAATGTGTGATCTGTAAAAAATTAAGGGGGAAATTTTTATGCCAAAAGATGTCAGACCTACCCATTGAACGTGTAGTTCAATCATCTCCTTTCAGTTATGTCGGGGTTGATGTGTTTGGACCGTGGCAGATTGTTTCAAGACGTACTAGAGGTGGACAAGCTCTTTCAAAACGTTGGGCTGTTTTATTCACTTGCTTGACTATTCGGGCAGTGCACATAGAGGTTATCGAAGGTTTATCTTCCTCTGCATTTACTAACGCCCTTAGGAGATTTGTTTCTATACGTGGGAAAGTTAAGGTTTATAGATCTGATCGTGGTACAAATTTCATTGGGGCAATTGATAACATTCAAGCCAGTGCAATTAATGTTGAAGATGAACATGTTCAGAGTTTCTTACAGAAATCTGGTTCAGTTTGGGAATTTAATAGCCCTCATAGCTCTCATATGGGAGGTACTTGGGAGCGCCTCATAGGTGTTGCTCGCAGAATACTAGACGCTATGCTATTAAATGTCAAAACTTTGACTCATGACGTCATTGTAACTTTAATGGCAGAGGTATCAGCTATTGTAAATGCCCGTCCAATTGTTCCAGTGTCATACGATCCCGAAGTTCCAGATATATTGAGTCCCTCTGCTTTGTTAACACAGAAGTTAGAATCTGACCAATCACCCCTCGGCAATATAGAGACTAAAGATCTATATAGAAATCAGTGGAAACAAGTCCAATATTTAGCCAATCAATTTTGGTTACGCTGGAGACGAGAATATCTCCAAACTCTTCAAGTTAGGCATAAATGGGTTCAAGAGCAAGAACCATTAAAAGTTGATGACATTGTATTACTTAAGGATGCTGAAGTAGCACGCAACTATTGGCCTATGGGAAGAGTTGTACGTACTTTTCCGAGTAAAGACGGTAGAGTCCGCAAAGTTGAAATTTGTATTGTGAAAGAAGGAAAGAAAATTTGTTATACTAGACCAATTGTTAATTTGGTGTTACTTGTCAGGAAGTAATATAAAACTATTTGTAAAGCTATGTGTAATGTAAGGATATTGTTTCTTGTACTGTTTAATGTAATACATTACCTTTAACTTTCTTTGTATATTTTTCTTAAAAATGTCGTTAAGTAATTATTGTAGGCTTCAGAGGGAATCATACCCTCGACCTCCCGTTTCCTGTTTGAATTCTGTAAAGATCTTAAACTAGTTATTGAATATTATGGAAGAGAATATTTAAATTTTTTGTGAATTGCCTATTCTAAGCTTTGACTAACAGAATCTCAATATTAAATTTCAAGTGATAGGTTTGGAAACCTCTATTTTGTTTTGTTATTTTACTTTTTATCATTAAGATTTCTAGTCAATACTAATTACTAGACTTATATATGTCTGAAGTTTTTCAGGATATATTTCTTCAACCTTTATTTTCAGAATTAGACTTTTGTAAACTTAGTGCTATTTTTTTTTATAATAACAGGTATAGTGTTATAAATATAATGTTGTAAGTGTTGATATAGGGTTATTAGTGTTATTATTTTATAATAACAGGCGGGGAGTGTGTTGTATCGTCCGTTTTGGGACGATGTTTTTGAGGACGATACTATGAGTCGATAACGCTACAGTGAGAGTCGTGTTTGATTTAGTTACGCTCTCGTGTTTAAGCGGTGTGGCACCGCCATTTGTAAATTTTGTAAAAGATTTGGCTGTAGATGTCTATAAAGCCACAACATTGTATGTATTTTTGGTTTTTCCACTCACAGACTGTTACATTATATGATTTACGTAAATACATTGATATAACGTTTTGTACTTTGCTACTATTTGGTGAAATAAGTTTGTAGATTCGTACATTAAATTCTCGTAACAATTTATATAGAATTTCATGTGGAACCTTTTTTCAGTGAAGATGTATAAAGTTTAGATTGTTTGACCTTAAGTAAAGTACGTTAATTTCTGAATTGCAAGGAACTGTTTATGAACTAAGTTACAAGTAGAACTTTGCTTCGTTTGTGATGAATGTATGACTTTGATAGAAATTTGCCTATAGTACTTAGTATTTTCTTTTTATATATTTTCAGCCTTTACCACACACACGCACACATTCGTATAAAGATATTGAATAAAGCTGGTTAAACTGTCTGATAGTAATTGTGTTTTGTTTATTCACTTTTACGAGGCAGAACAAACGGACTCATATTGTCACGGGCTATTATTATCAATCAATGTGTATGTTAAAGATACCGATTAATTAGGTGATAATTATGATTGACTCATTCATTCAAATTTGATTAGTGACCACCTGAAATTAATTAGAAGGTTATGCTGTTAAGTAAACAAGTTTTTGTTTCATATTTTTTTGAAAATTACTTTACAAACAAAATGCATCTAAGAAAATACATTTTTATTATACTGTATCTATATTCACAGGCACATCGGACAGGGGAAGAAAAAATATGAAGTTATTTTATCAATCTGTTCATATTTTTTCTTCCCAGGTTCGATAATGGTGCCTGTGTCTATATTAATTTTATCGAATCTGCAAGACAAATAAATAACTTTTTTTTCTAAATATACTTTATTTCAGCAGAGGTACATTGTATAATTAGAGTCACCGTACCAGTGCTCAACCAGTTTTTCACAAAATTACATAAAAACTCTTTCAGAATAAAAAGTTTGCTGGGAAAATTATTTTTGTTACAAAGCTGGCCCTTTCAAACTCACAATAAGCTTAAGCGTTTTAATTACACAGATCAGGATACAATTTACCACAGAGTTGTATATAGGGTATAAAACTACTATATTTTTCAGGCAACCAAACCAGTGCTCGACCAGGTGGTTTTATCTCTATCAGAACTTTTATTTTTTTAAAACAGACATGACTTTTTATGTTCAACAATTCTATTTCAAAAATATTTTGAAACATTTATGTTTTAGGGTCTATAAATGTTAATATGAGAGCAAATATGATACGAAGGAAATGCTATACATTGACAAATAGTGTTTATAAGAGTTTTGGTATTTACATATACTGGGGTGTTTGAGATTACTTATTCTCATATTTTTCTTTACTAAAATCACTCTGCAAACATAGTTAAGTCTGATAATTGGTGTAATATACAAATGGTTTACGCTTTTAGTGGTGTGTTCCTGATTTGTTTCCGTACAGCTGCCATATTTGTTTACATTTTCATAGCCCCTGCCTTTTACGGAAAGCAAGGTCTTGATAATTTTTGAGCACATTTCCTATGGGAAATCATTTGGAATCATAAGAGTAAGGCAATTTAACAAAGTATTGTCCACATTTGCCCTAAATTATCATTAGTTTAGTGTTTTAAATAGTTTTTACTGCTACTTTTATTATAGAATTGCATTTTGTACTGTTAAATATTGTCTGCAAAATGGCAAAACTTTTACCAAACTTGGAGTACTTGTACATGGTGTAGAGTTACAAGTCAGGTACAAATAGCACACACAAACTCCCAGGGTTTTTCCACTTTAATGCATAAATCGTAAACAAATAGAAGTATTGGTCGAGCATTGGGCTGGTCGAGCACAGGTACTGTGACTCTATATAATAATAATAAGATATTTCTTATTATTCATTTACCTTAACAACATGCAAAGCAAAGTAAATACGTTATAGGCCTATATATTTTTGTAAAGTGGGCCGAGTTGACCCGTGCCGAGTTGACCCGTGCCGAGTTGGTATAGGGCCGAGTTGACTCTTTTCCTTCCTCCCGACTTTTTGGGATCCTCGGAATCCCGGGACCCCGTTAATGTCGAACCCTGAATTTACCTTAGCGAGTTAATTCTTTTTGACTTGTTATGTTAACATTTCATTCAAGTAAAAAAATAATTTACCTATTAGTTACAAACTTTTCAAGATACTTACCGCAATTTCTTCAAATTTTGAGAAAATATTATCCGGGGCTATTTTCCGCCATTCTGATTGTCTCCAATTTGACAGCGCATGCGTACAGTAATCTGGTTCCCTGTCCGATTTAGGTTCCCATCCAAGAAGTGCGCAGGGGACCAGTCTGATGCGTACTGTAAACGAACACTACTAGATTATAGAAAGATTTCACAACACTAAATATTTTCCTACACTTTCTTTAGTAAAAAAGGTCAAAGAAACATCTGGAAGAGACTCTGCAAACTATTATTATAGGCAATATTGTGCCGTTTCTTCTGTGCAGGCTTATATCATTTTTTATCATCTAATTTTAATTGAATAAATTTGAATGAAGGCTCTCGCACACATAACACCACCTAAATCAGTATATTCAATCTATGTTAACTTGATTATTTCAATCCTCTAGCACCGTCTAAATCAGTATATTCAATCTATGTAAACTTAACTATTTCAATCCTCTAGCACCGTCTAAATCAGTATATTCAATCTATGTTAACATAATTATTTCAATCCTCTAGCACCTTCTAAAGCAGTATATTCAATCTGTGTTAACTTAATTATTTCAATCCTCTAGCACCACCTAAAGCAGTATATTCAATCTATGTTAACATTATTATTTCAATCCTCTAGCACCGTCTAAATCAGTATATTCAATCTATGTTAACATAATTATTTCAATCCTCTAGCACCTTCTAAGTCAGTATATTCAATCTATGTTAACTTAATTATTTCAGTCCTCTAGCACCGTCTAAATCAGTATATTCAATCTATGTTAACTTAATTATTTCAATCCCCTAGCACCGTATAAAGCAGTATATTCAATCTATGTTAACATAATTATTTCAATCCTCTAGCACCGTCTAAATCAGTATATTCAATCTATGTTAACTTAATTATTTCAATCCCCTAGCACCGTATAAAGCAGTATATTCAATCTATGTTAACATAATTATTTCAATCCTCTAGCACCGTCTAAATCAGTATATTCAATCTATGTTAACTTAATTATTTCAGTCCTCTAGCACCGTCTAAATCAGTATATTCAATCTATGTTAACTTAATTATTTCAATCCTCTAGCACCGTCTAAATCAGTATATTCAATCTATGTTAACTTAATTATTTCAATCCTCTAGCACCGTCTAAATCAGTATATTCAACCTATGTTAACTTAATTATTTCAGTCCTCTAGCACCGTCTAAATCAGTATATTCAGTCTATGTTAACTTAATTATTTCAATCCTCTAGCACCGTATAAAGCAGTATATTTAGTTGCAGTTTATTCAATCGTTGCTTACATGTCACACCCACATATAATACATTTTTTTGTATATATCGTAGCAGTGCATTCAGTATTTGTTAAGATACTAACCCAATATACACCGTCTAAAGCAATATTTTCAGTCTCACACCCACCTAGCACCGTCAAAAGCAGTATAATCAGTCCTTGTTAACATATCTCGCCCACTTAGCACCGTCTTAAGCAGCACATTCAATATTTGTTAACATATATCACCCACCAAGCATCATCTAAAGCAATTTTGCAATTAAGTCTTTATTAACATATATCACCCACATAGCAAAGTCTTAATCAGCATATTTAGTCTTTGTTAACATATCGCACCCACCACCACCGTCTCAAGCAGCATATTTAGTCTTTGTTAACATATATCACCTTCTAAAGCAGTATATTTTGTCTTTGTTAATAGATTTCAGCACCGTCTAGAGCTGCATATTCAGCATTTGTTAACTTGTCTCCGTACAGATTCCGACTACTACTTGAATGTTTAATTTTCTATGTTAAAAAGGACAATACCAAGCTCGGATTGAAATGATTAAATTATGTTATTTACGTGAAAGTTTTTGCCAATTGAATGTCATATTATTTAATGTTTTATTTCATTATTTTGTTCCTTATTTTCCATTATAAAAACAAACTCCGTGGCCTATTTAATATATAGTGGGAAATAAATAAATAACAGACCATATATATCATATTTTGTCTTATATTATTAGTTATAAAGATCGTTGAAATGTTATATGGCAATATATGAACGGTTATTTGTAGATATAACCCGAGCCGTTCGGTGAGGGTTATATTGCAAACAGCCGTTTATATACGGCCATATAACCTGTCAACAATCTTTATTACCAATTTATAATACTGCAAGAATCATTTTTAGAGAAAAAAGATTTCTTCATGAATCGACAGCAGGCGTGTATACATATATATGTTATATACAAATAAAACCAAATAAACGTCACGATTATCCGATGATAAATGGCGGTACAAACTTGCAGTATTATAAATATATATACTTTGCTATCTGATCGAAGGGAAATTACACTTGTAAGGAAGATATACTTGACTATATGACTAGTCTCCCTTTAACATGATGACTTTCCTCAAAATATTTCCGAAATAAATGTGTCAATTATGATTAATGGGAAATTATTCCTTTTATGTAGATTGATATTAAGTACAGTATTACTCTCCCTTGAACTGCATTATCAATATTCAAGTTATCGCTTATAAACGTTTTGTATTTTATATGTAATAACTATAATGTGCTAATTTTTCAGTGTCTTTCTTAATGATATTAAATTATATAACTAAGAATGCATTCTTATGAAAATTGTGTTTGTATATTTGAGGTATATATTATACTCGCCACCGACTTCCCATGGGTATGGGCGAGTCCTCCAAAAGACTATTAGTCATTTTAGGTTTTTGGAGATAGTGCAAGATGCAGATATAGAAAGATGCCCCAATTCCAGAACATTCTCCTGGTTCTTTAGCGTACCAAGAATGTCAGTGGACACTAAAATATCACAGATATACACAGGACCTGAAATTTTGCTGGACCTACCATAACCCAATCTGTGAGCTATATCATATTCTTTAAAGTGTCACGGAATATGTATCTCCACATATATATTGACACGTGTTGTAAACTTAAGATGCTATAATGATAATGATATTATTTGTGTTTTACCAGAATTCTTTTCACAGAGTTAAAAGTATTCGAACCATGAGTAGAAAGACTAGGCAAACTTCGTGGAACTATATGCTTACTAATAATGAAGCTGGGTCAATTAATACACTTTACACACAGTAAAGAGAAAACTCGGAATATATCACGTGCAGTAACACTTTCTTAACCAATGGTAAAATGTCATATGTGACGTTGTATATGATGGGTAAATGAATAGAAAGACCAGGAAAATATAATGGAACTATACTGGCTTACTAATCATGCATCCGGTTTATAGAATAAACTGCACACACAGTACTTTGAACACTCGGATCATGTCACGTGCAGTTACAATTTTGTAACCAATGGTATACTTTTATAACACCATATGTGACGTCACATATGATGGCATACACATCTCCACCCTGAATATGTATTAATTTACTATTATGTTTATGCATTAAGTAAACTAGTCACGGTTTATTTTAAGATGTTAGTGTTAACCCACCGTATGACGTCACATGTGGTATAAAAATACACCATTGGTTGAGATATTGTAACTGCACTGATATGTGTCTGTGTCTTACATATGTCTGTCACGGAAATTGCTTCTATTCCAGTTCTTTTTCACGATCCTAGTACAGTACCTATATTGTACATAGTGTTATTTATGTACTGACAGCTTAGTCAGTGTAATATGGATAAAGTGTAAAGGCCAAGGTCTCTTCTTAGTAGTCTGCATATATTATAGATAACATTGTTTATGTACTGGCAGCTTAGTTTTTGTAATATGGATAAAGTGGAAAGGCCAAGGTCTCTTCTTAGTAGTCTGCATATATTATACATAACATTGTTTATGTACTGACAGCTTAGTTTTTGTAATATGGATAAAGTGGAAAGGTCAAGGTCTCTTTCTAAGTAGCCTTTATATAGTATACATAACGTTGTTTATGTACTGACAGTTAAGTCTTTATTTTATAAGAAAAAAGTGGGAAGTATGTATCCAACAAGTTTTAAACTAGGTCTGTAAGAGAGGGGGAAACAAATAATATACAAATCAATTTTGTACAATTCTTTATTATGGAAAGCCATACAAACATGCTATCAGAACCAATCAAACAGTTACTTTTTACTTTTTAAAGTATAACATAATAATAACAAAACCAGCAGAAATACAATTTTTTCATAAAGGTTCTATGACAAGATATAAATTTTATATATTGCCTACATTTTGTTAACATTTCTATATACTGATCAACATGTCACCATTGTTGGATAAATACAAAAAAGATGGATCTTTTGTATCCATCCGGGTCAAATTTAATCTGTTTAACCTAAAGCAATATATAGTATTAAATACTTGTAATAAGACAGTATATAAGTCAACCATGGACAGATATCTTAAGTAATTAATTAACTTCTTATTCTTCATTATAACCAGCTAATTATAATAAACTAATAAAGCATATGTACAAATGATATAACACATTCCAGATTGAACTTATCTTAACCTCATCTAGAATTGTTTAAGCATAACCATGGATAATATAGATTTGTCATATACATGTAACTAAAGGATTACAAATGTACTTTATTCCAAGTCACAAAAAACATTTGTTCATAAGACATAACATATCTAAGCATGAAATAAATATAAACATTCATCTATCTAGTAAACTGTTAATAATAATCTTCATGCAATTATATGTTTACTTATATATGTACTAGATGAATTTACTTAACATTCAAATTTAAAGTTTAAAGGCACATTACACCTCAGAAATGATTTTTCATTTTTGTAGAAAGGGCAAATATGTGTTTTAAAATGTTTTAATAATAGATTTACAACATGAGATATTCTTATCACCTGATGGGTTTGAAAAAAAAAAGATTTGTGTTACAAAATGAAAACAATATGGTTATTCCATATCCATATACAATACTTATTCATCATAACTGTACTAGTTGCTAAAATGCAAAAGAAACAAATGAAGGCTCAGATTATGAGATATATGGCCAATAAGAAACTTTTTGACACAAAAATTAAAGTTTTTAAAAAATAAAAGAAATTGATTTTTGAAGGCTTAACGGGCCTTTAAGTCAAACAGGAACAACTGTTTAAAATGTGTAGTTCCATGTAACAAAACATTTCTTTATATAAAATAATATCATTTTATTATTTTCATAAAAGGATTTCAATAGCATGTAACTAAAACAACAAACATGTATTAACATATAATAATATGTTTACATATGTACTAGATACATTCATTCATTCATTCATTCATTCAGAATAAAGGCACAGACAAGTGTAACATATGTTTATATATAACATATCTTAATCCTGGTACATGTATATACTAACATCAGAAAGCATAAAAAAACTAACTAAGCTTTAATAAAATGTAGTTATATCTTTACTGTCTGAAAACATTTAATTTTCAGTCTTAACATCTTAACTGGTATTTATATATACCATTCCCTTGTCCTTAGTATAACGTATAGTACAACTGGTATTTATAAATACGATTCACTTGTCCTATATATCAAATAACTGGTATTATTATACCATTCCCCTGTCCTATATATCATATCACTGGTATCTATATATACCATTCCCTTGTCCTATATATCATATAACTGGTATATATTATTATATATATACCATTCCCTTGTCCTATATATCATATAACTGGTATTTATATATACCATTCCCTTGTCCTATATATCATATAACTGGTATTTATATATACCATTCCCTTGTACTATATATCATATAACTGGTATCTATATATACCTTTCCCTTGTCCTATATATCATATAACTGGTATTTATATGTACCATTCCCTTGTCCTATATAACATATAACTGGTATCTATATATACCATTCACCTGTCCTATATATCATATAACTGGTATCTATATATACCATTCCCTTGTCATATATATCATATAACTGGTATTTATATATACCATTCACTTGTCCTATATATCATATAACTGGTATCTATATATACCATTCCCTTGTCCTATATATCATATAACTGGTATCTATATATACCATTCCCTTGTCCTATATATCATATAACTGGTATCTATATATACCATTCCCTTGTCCTATATAACATATAACTGGTATTTATATATACCATTCCCTTGTCCTATATAACATATAACTGGTATCTATATATACCATTCACTTGTCATATATAACATATAACTGGTATCTATATATACCATTCACTTGTCATATATATCATATAACTGGTATCTATATATACCATTCCCTTGTCCTATATAACATATAACTGGTATCTATATATACCATTCACTTGTCATATATATCATATAACTGGTATCTATATATACCATTCGCTTGTCCTAAATATCATATAACTGGTATTTATATATACCATTCACTTGTCATATATAACATATAACTGGTATCTATATATACCATTCACTTGTCATATATAACATATAACTGGTATCTATATATACCATTCACTTGTCATATATATCATATAACTGGTATTTATATATACCATTCCCTTGTCCTATATATCATATAACTGGTATCTATATATACCATTCCCTTGTCCTATATAACATATAACTGGTATCTATATATACCATTCACTTGTCATATATAACATATAACTGGTACCATTTCCTTGTATCATATATCATATAACTATTTAACTTTTTAAGCATGTATATATCATTCTTTTTGTGTGTTTTTTTTTTATTTTCATGTATGATAGTATCCATTTATATATTACATTTTGTTCAATGATAATAAAAACAACTTCAACCATTAACTCTTGTCAAATTCTGGATTATTATAATCTGTTTTTCTATTTTTACCATAAAAAGTAAATGTGCTTAGAAATGGGCTCAATAACAAGCAATAAAATCACCGATTTTGATATATTATTTCGATTCTAACACGACATCAACAAATAAATGCTGCCGTACATGATATAGAGGATATTGAATGAGTGTAAGTTCAATACTAAATTTATTGCACGAGTTGAATAAAATTATATTTTGGGAGCCTCTGACGAGCATAATATTATTTTATTCAACAAGTGCAATAAATTAAGTAATGAACTTACACGAATTTAATATTCTATTTATCACATACCAAAAATAGAGACCGTTAAAAGTGAAATAAGAGTCATTTTTCATTGACGCGCCTATAGTATAACGCTAACATTTAGCGCGTCTTTACACTATATTTGTATAACGCTAATGACGTCACGTCAAAATATATGCACGGCCGTGCAATACCATATTTACGGAGTCGCAAAATCGGCACAGGTGTGTGATAAAGCCTGATTTGTTTTCGTACTTATTGTCAGCGCGTCACATTTTAAGTGGTTACGTCACATGTTTAATGATTACGTCACATGTCTAAATATAGAACGTCAAACAGTGATTTTATAGCATAATAACACACACTTTCGGTTCTTCTATGTTCAATAGGGAAAAATGCGGGTCATGTTAGAATAATTATTAATAAAGTATCTTTTACTTTTTCAACCTACTAACTGATATCATCCTCCTTTCTGACTTTGTACATTCAATATTTGTTTTATAATATATAATATATAATTCATTTAATTTACTTATTCATTAATTCATTTACTTACAAACCTATTTATACATTTATTATTAGAACAATACTTTTTTCAAATCATTTTTTTTTCACAACCTATTCCTGATCTTTAGAAAAGAACCTTTATCTTTATTAAGATCAATATATTTATTTTATTTCACTGAATTTCTTTCATTTATTTATTTATAAACACAAATTGAATATTACTGTCTTCAATTTCAATATTATAAATGCTTTTGTTACATAGTGTTACATTGACAAGACATCAATATTTAATTTTAAATTGTTTTTAAATTGTTATCATAATGCATTAAATTCATCCTCTTGCTTCACAATAATATGTTAATTACTTGTCATCACTTTTTTGATGAAAAAAAATACTGTGACTTTAAAAAATAAAAAAAAATAACAAGAGGGCCATGATGGCCCTGAGGTCGCTCACCTGTATATAGCCCCCCCCCCCCCGCGCCAATTTTTACCCAAGGGCTTTTATTTGTTTATTTGAACAGACTTGGTAGACACCCATAAGAAGATGTTTCATGCTAAACATCTAAGTTCTAGCTCATTGAGTTTTTTAAAAGAAGATTTTTTAAGTTTTTACTATACACATATAGTTAAAAACAATGACAACCCTGGGGCTGGGCCAGTTTTCACCCCCGGACTTTTATTTGAACAAACTTTGTAGATATTTACTTAAAGATGTTTCATGCTTAATATCTAAACTCTAGCTATTTGGGTTTTTTCAAAGAAGATTTTTAAGTTTTTGCTATACATATATAGGGAAAATAAATGACCCCCGGGGCGGGCCAGTTTTGACCCCAGGGCTTTTATTTGAACATACTTGGTAGACACCCATTAGAACATGTTTCATGCTAAATATCTTAGCTCTAGTTCTTTGGGTTCTTTAAAAGTAGATTTTTTAAGTTTTTACTATATGCATATAGGGAAAATCAATGACCCCCTGGGGCGGGGCCAATTTTGACCCCAGGGCTTTTATTTGAACAAACTTGGTAGACATTCATTAGAAGATGTTTCATGCTTAATATCTAAGCTCTAGCTCTTATGGTTCTTTAAAAGTAGATTTTTTAAGTTTTTACTATATGCATATAGGGAAAATCAATGACCCCCCGGGGGGGGGGGGCCAATTTTAACCCCAGGGCTTTTATTTGAACAAACTTGGTAGACATTCATTAGAAGATGTTTCATGCTTAATATCTAAGCTCTAGCTCTTACGGTTCTTTAAAAGAAGATTTTTTAAGTTTTTACTATATGCATACAGGGAAAATCAATGACCCCCCCGGGGGGGGGGGCAATTTTAACCCAGGGCTTTTATTTGAACAAACTTGGTAGACACTCACTAGAAGATGTTTCATGCTAAATATCTTAGCTCTAGCTCTTTGGGTTCTGTAAAAGAGAATTTTTTAAGTTTTTACTATATGCATATAGGAAAATCTATGACCCCTGGGGCAGGGCCAATTTTGACCCCAGGGCTTTTATTTGAACAAACTTGGTAGACATTCACTAGAAGATGTTTCATGCCAAATATCTAAGCTCTAGCTGTTACAGTTCTTTAAAAAAAGATTTTTTTAAGTTTTTACTATATACATATAGGGAAAATCAATGACCCCCCGGGGCGGGGCCAATTTTGACCCCAGGGCTTTTATTTGAACAAACTTAGTAGACACTCACTAGAAGATGTTTCAGGCCAAATATCTTAGCTCTAGCTCTTTGGGTTCTTTAAAAAGAAGATTTTTTTAAGTTTTTACTATATGCATATAGGAAAATCTATGACCCCCTGGGGCGGGGCCAATTTTGACCCCAGGGCTTTTATTTTGAACAAACTTGGTAGACACTCATCAGAAGATGTTTCATGCCAAATATCTAAGCTCTAGCTTTTAGGGTTGTTTTTAAAAGAAGATATTTTAAAGATTTTTCTTTCGGTTGCCATGGCAACCAGAGTTCTGCATGGAATTAAATTCTTTGAACAATTTTTAAAGGTGACCACCAAAGGAACATTCCTGTGAAGTTTGGATGAAATTGGCTCAGCGGTTTATGAGGAGATGTCATTTAAAGCAAAAGTTTACGGACGGACGGACGCCGGACGGACGGACGCCGGACGAAAAGCGATCACAAAAGCTCACCCTGTCACAAAGTGACAGGTGAGCTAAAAATTATTGTAAATTTTCACATAAAATAATTCAGTTCAAACACTATGTTATCTGCATGTATTTTATCTCACTATGTTAAAAATTCAAACCATTATTTTGTTGAAAAGGTAGAATAACAAAAATTAGTGTTCAAACACTAAGTAACTATATCCATTGGATACTTTATCACTTTTTTGTTGAAAATTCAAACCTATAAACACTATCTAATTTAACATGAAATAACTGATCCTTATCTTTTACATACTGTATAGCATCATTTCCCTTCCCTCCTCTTAGTGCTTGTCTTATCAATGTTAACCTATCACCATCAAACTCCTCACCATCTCCTGTTATATAACAGCCCTCTACTCTCACATATACAGTATGAGGAATACCAGGAAAACTATCAACAAACTTCCGCCATGTTGTCAAACTCATTATGACATTATAAAGCTTAATGTTCTTTAAACTCTTCATTTCTAAAGGTAACTGTATTATATTGTCAGTAAACCTACAATGCCATAACTTAAGCTTACTGAGATTGTGTAACAATGGTAATACTCTGACTAGTCTATTTGTTATGTTGGTATGATATAATTGAGATTTATTGTTATATTCTCCATGCAATTCTAGTTCTTTTAATTTGTAAGATTTTCTAATAATATCAAATATTTTCTCATAATTACTATCTTTCAATTGACTAAATTCAAATATTTCAAGGTTTGTAGTATCAGCATCTATCACACTAACAGTATTATACAAATCAAGATACTGAAGTTGTTGATGTTTTGATAAATTTACATCATGCTGCTTCTCACACTCACATTTAACATTAATAAGCTGTATTTGTTCAAGATGACTGGTTCTCTCAAGAAAATTACAAAATGTAGTAGTATCATCATGACTCATTTTTATACCACTCATACGTATTGCTACAAGATTGATCATACTAGGTAGGTAACTAACAACTGTTTTACACACTGGGTAATACTTGCCAGTGTAAGAGACATGAAGAGTCAGAGATTTTAATGTTGAAGTATTTACTTTAATTGTCTCACAAACACAATTGCTAATCTCATCAATCAACTCATTATTCTGTGTACTAGCACTTTGTGTACTTGATAACAATAGAAATTCAGATTTATATGTTATTTTAATTTTTTCAAGATGATGAAACATTGGTAAATATTTTGTAAATTTAATTTTATTTGTGTTGATGCTACTTACATTAATAGAGAGAACAGAGTCAGGAACAATTTGTTGCTGATCAATACCTGAACAAACAATATCACAATACCGACCCCATTTATCAATAACCAAATCTCCTATATAAAATACAGGATTACTGCCTATACTACATGTTGCATTTAATTCTTTCATTGACTCAAACATAAGCTTTTGAATATCAGTAATACAACTATGATCCCTATACATGTAACCTCTTATTGTTCTCCTGTATTCCTGAACACGAGAGTCTTCTGACACAGTATCATATATGTATTTTGAAACACATGTTGCTAATCTAGGTTCAAGACCAGATAGCATAATGATAACATTTGACTGTTCTAATATGTCATTGACTGTTGAACATTTCCGAAAAACCTCACAAATAAACTTTTTGACTAATTCAACATTTCCTGTACTATCTGACAAACCAATTTTTGCATTAAAATTGATGCCAATATACACTGCAGCCAGAAATTCTTGCATTGATTTGTGAATGAAAGAGAACACAGAGCTTTTAGGTTTGGATACAGAAAAAGAAGGACATTTATCTTCTGTCAAAATTCCCAGTTTCAGACATGTTTCTCGCATTTCATGTGATATTTTCAAATCATCAAACACAGATTTGTCAAATGTTAAGGACTTATCCTTTGAATAATTGAACAATGTCTCATAAGCCAAGCGTGACACACCATTTATAAGATGACTATTTAATCTAAATATCTCTACATCTGTTAAATACTGAGGGAGTTCAACATTCTGAGAACTTTCCATACATTCTGTTTTATTTCCTAAAGTTTTATTGATATTCCAGGTGAAATAAAGTTCTAACATACCAGTATAAATAGCACACCTTGAAGTTTTATCAAGTTTACCATCACACCATAGACAAACCAATTGCTGCAGCATAATTGGTACCTGTTTCAGGCCAACCAGAGACGTTATCCTAAGCTTTTCTTCACACACATTAGGATCTAATGATTCATTCAATGCTGTTATTGTATTCTTAATCATTTCTTTTTCATGTGTTTTATCAAACCCTTTAAATTTCAATAATTGATGAATCTCTCTATTACTTACTCTCAAACTGTGAATTTTCCATGGCCGTGATGTAGTAACAATGGTGTATTTCTTTGTAAAGTCACGTTCAGGTAGGCCTGCCTGGAACTCATTCCTAGTCTCACTGTCAAAAGACCATTCATCTAAACCATCAAGCAAAATAATTATCTTTTCAGAATCATTTTCCAGAAGTTTACTTAAATTTTTTATCTTATCATAACGCATTTCAAGCATTTCTTGGATACTTCGGATCTTTATGTTATGTCTAAGAGAAATATAAAACATGAAATCAAATTTCTTCATTTCTTTGACTTCTTCAAACTCATCATCTTCATTGTGTCCATCACTGTGTGCCATACACCAACAGTTGATCAAATATTTACAGAAACTACTCTTACCAGACCCTGCATCTCCAACAACATAAATAAATTTCTGTGGATCCCCACTCTTTGTGAAAATCTCTGACATGGACTCTATTTCTTTTTCCTCAGACTCCCCTCTGTTCTTTTCTATCTTGCTTGTTATAGTGGGTCTTATATAAACATCACTGAAATTATAATTTTCCTCATCTGGTTGTAAAGGTATTGCTGATACTTTAAGCACATCACTGCGATAATGTTCCATCAATTGAGTACGACAACCTGAAATTGATAAAACAGCCCATAAATTAGAAAATACTCACAAATAATCTAAAAATAACCAGATTCCATTACAAACTAGAGAATTCTCTGACATTGAAATGATGATTTTGTAGTGTTGTTTTGTAAAAGTATAAATTAAATGTAAAACTAGAAATGTGTCCATAGGACACAGGTGCCCCCACACTCAACCATTTGTCAATCCTATGTATCTATGTCAAATATGTTTTTTTTGGCTACATGTGCCCAAGTTAAAAACTAAAAATCTTTTATTAAATAAAGGGCAAATACTACAAATACTGAAAAAATCCACAAGAAAAACCCCAAGGTACACAGTGACCAACATTTACTCTAAAAATACTAATAATATCCACACAAAAGTACCCAGCTGCACAACTACACATGCTGAGTAACATTCTTGTAAGGTTTTATGACTATAGGTCAAAAACATTTTTAAGTACGTACGATACAAGTTGAAAATTGGAAATTTTTACTTATTCAATGGCAATAACTCTAAAAATACTAAATATATCCACACAAAAATACCCAGGTGCACAACAACACATGCTGATCAACATTCTAGTAAGGTTTCATGACTGTAAGTCAAATATTTTTTGAGTTACGTCCGACACAAGTTGCAAATTGCAAATTTTTACTAAGTCAAGGGCAATAACTCTAAACATACTAAATATATCCACATGAAAATACCCAGGTGCACAACTTCACATGCTGATCAACATTCCTGTAAGGTTTCATGACTCTAGGTCAATTACTTTTTGAGCTACGTGCGACACAAAAAGGGAACGGACAGACGGACAAGGTAAAAACTAAATGCCCCCCCCCCTATACTGGGGGGCACAAATAATAATATATGATAAAATCATCATAATTAGGGCAAAATTTGACCTTGACGGCCTGTCTTGGCCACGGAAATTTTAAAGTCAATGTCTTATTTGAATTACTAAACACTTCAGCTGTGTCAAAGGTATTGTTTTGTTCAAGTTACAATAAATTCTAAAAATAAATTAACCAAGAACTAAGAAAACAAGAAATGTCAAACACATCATAAGCCACCTTTCTAGCCCTTGACTCACATTATTGGTAATTTCGTAATATAAACTTGCCAAAAATGGGTACATGGAAGAGTTCTATTATGAAACAAGAGGGCCATGATGGCCCTGAGGTCGCTCACCTGTATATAGGCCCCCAACCCTCACCCCCAACGTTGCAGGGCCAAATTAACCCAAGGGCTTTTATTTGCACAAACTTGGTAGACACCCATAAGAAGATGTTTCATGCTAAACATCTAAGCTCTAGCTCATTTGGGCTTTTTAAAAGAAGATTTTTTTAAAGTTTTTACTATACACATATAGTTAAAAACATTGACACCCCTGGGGCCAGGCCAGTTTTCACCCCAGGGCTTTTATTTGAACAAACTTTGTAGACACTTACTAGAAGATTTTTCATGCTCAATATCTAAACTCTAGCTATTTGGGTTTTTTCAAAGAAGATTTTAAGTTTTTGCTATACACATATAAAGAAAATCAATGACCCCCGGGGCGGGGCCAATTTTGACCCCAGGTCTTTTATTCGAACAAACTTGGTAGACACCTATTAGAACATGTTTGATGCTAAATATCTTAGCCATAGCTCTTTGAGTTCTTTAAAAGAAGATTTTTAAGTTTTTACTATATGCATATAGGGAAAATCAATGACCCCCACCCGGAGCGGGGCCAATTTTGACCCCAGGGCTTTTATTTGAACAAACTTGGTAGACACTGATTAGAACATGTTTCATGCTAAATATCTTAGCTGTAACTCTTTGGGTTCTTTAAAAGAAGATTTTTAAAGTTTTTACTATATGCATATAGGGAAAATCAATGACCCCCTGGGGCGGGGCCAATTTTGACCCCAGGGCTTTTATTTGAACAAACTTTGTACACACCTATTAGAACATGTTTGATGCTCAATATCTTAGCTCTAGCTCTTATAGTTCTTTAAAAGAAGATTTTTTAAGTTTTTACTATATGCATATAGGGAAAATCAATGACCCCCGGGGCGGGCCAATTTTGACCCCAGGGCTTTTATTTGAACAAACTTGGTAGACACCCATTAGAACATGTTTCATGCTAAATATCTTAGCTCTAGCTCTTTGGGTTCTTTAAAAGAAGATTTTTTAAGTTTTACTATATGCATATAGAGAAAATCAATGACCCCCCGGGGCGGGGCCAATTTTGACCCCAGGGCTTTTATTTGAACAAACTTGGTAGACACTCACTAGAAGATGTTTCATGTCAAATATCTAAGCTCTAGCTCTTATGGTTTTTTAAAAGAAGATATTTAAAGTTTTTTCTTTCGGTTGCCATGGCAACCAGAGTTCTGCATGGAATTAAATTCTTTGAACAATTTTTAAAGGTGACCACCAATGGAACATTCCTGTGAAGTTTGGATGAAATTGGCTTAGTGGTTTATGAGGAGATGTCATTTAAAGTAAAAGTTTACGGACGGACGACGGACGGACGACGGACGGACGCCGGACGAAAAGCGATCACAAAAGCTCACCCTGTCACTTTGTGACAGGTGAGCTAAAAAATAAAAACTTTCTGATAAATAGTTTTCAAGATAAAATTGAGACATCCAAAGCCCCTGAAGACTTTGTGAAAAATAGTAACCAAGATAATAAGCAGAAATCATATTACCATTCAAGGGCCCTCTGACCTTGACCTTTGACCTAGTGACCCCAAAATCAATAGGGTCATCTACTAGCTATGACCAATCACTATGTGAAATATGAATACCTTTTGATAAATACTTTTTAAGATAATCAGCAACAAACATTTTGACATTTAAGGCCCATATGACCTTGACCTTAGACCTAGTGACCCCAAAATCAAAAGGGTCATCTACTAGTTATGACCAATCAGAATGTGAAATATGAATACTTTGTGATAAATAGTTTTTAAGATAATCAGCTGAAACCATGTGGTCTACCGACAGACAGACCGACAGTTCGACCGATAAATCGACATAAGCAAAATACATGTACCTCTTCTTCTCCTTAATGGGGGGCATAAAAAACTGTTAAGTATTTGACCTAAACAGTCAAGGTAATGAAAAAGTCCAGGTAACATTTGAAATAATTCAAATGTTCGTTTTGTCATAGATATTCTTTAGTGCACTGACGAGGCAAATCTCAAATAATAGCATTAATATTCTACAAATGTTGTATTACTTACATGATGAAGCCATTCCATATTCTTTATAACCTACCTGATCTAGCCTTTTCACAAATTTTATAACATACCTGATTTAGCCTTTTCTGATTCTATATAACATATATGATTTAGCCTTTCCATATTCTATTTCACATACTTGATTTAGCCTTTTTCTATTCTATATAACATATCTGATTTAGCCTTTTCAGATTTTATAGAACATACCTGATTTAGCCTTTTTCTATTCTATATTACATACCTGATTTAGCCTTTTTCTATTCTATATAACCTACCTGATCTAGCCTTTTTCTATTATATATAACATACCTGATTTAGCCTTTTTCTATTCTATAAAACCTACTTGATCTAGCCTTTTTCTATTCTATGTAACATACTTGATCTAGCCTTTTTCTAGTCTATATAATATATCGGATCTAGCCTTTTTCATATTCTATATGACATACATGATTTAGCCTTTTTCTTTTCTATATAATATACCTGATTAAGCCTTTTCAGATTCTATAGAACATACCTGATTTAGTCTTTTTATATTCCAAATAACATACCTGATTTAGCCTTTTCATATTTTTATTTAATCTTTCCTATTCTATATAACATACCCGATTTTGCCTTTTAATATTCAATATAACATACCTGATTTAGCCTTTTCTATTTTATATAGCATACCTGATTTAGCCTTTTTCTATTCTATATAACATACCTGATTTAGCCTTTTCAGATTCTATAGAACATACCTGATTTAGTCTTTTATATTCCAAATAACATACCTGATTTAGCCTTTTCAAATTAAGAATTAATATATCCCAAACTGCTTCTTTATTGCTCAATATCATCACTGTTTGGAATTTGGATGCTGGGAATAATATCACCAGGGCGTAGCCCGAGTGATATAATGATTTGCATCCGAACGACAAACAGTGATGTTATCGAGCAATAAAATCACCAATTCGTATATATTATTATTTCAATTATACACGACATCAACAAATAAATGCTGCAGTACATGATAATTAGCTAAATTGCACCTTTGTTTCCGTACTTATTGTCAGCGCGTCACATTTTTAGTGGTTACGTCACATGTATAATTATTACGTCACATGTCTAAATATAGAGCGTCAAACAGTGATTTTATTGCATAATAACACACACTTTCGGATTTTCTATGTTCAATAGGGAAAAATGCGGGTCCTGTTAGAATTGTATATACCATACCTGATTTAACCTTTTCTATTCTATATAACATACCCGATTTAGCCTTTTAATATTCTATATAACATACCTGATTTAGCCTTTTCTATTTTATATAACATACCTGATTAAGCCTTTTCAGATTCTATAAAACATTCCTGATTAAATCTTTTTATATTCCAAATAACATACCTGATTTAGCCTTTCCATATTCCAAATAATATACATGATTTAGCCATTTCAAATTAAGAAATAATATGTGCCAAACAGTGACTTTACTGCTCAATAACATCACTGTTTGGAGTTCAGATGCTGGGAAATATATCACGAGTGCGTAGCCGGATTGATATAATAATGCACATCCGAACGACAACAGTGATGTTATCAAGCAATAAAATCATGGATTTGGATATATTATTATTTCTATTCTAACACGCCTTTTGTTTCCGTACTTATTGTCAGCGCGTCACATGTCTAAATATAGAGCGTCAAACAGTATTTTTATTGCATAATAACACACCCTTACGGTTTTTCTATGTTCTTCATGTTAGAATTCTATATAACCTTTTAATATTCTATATAAAATACCTGATTCCTTTTTAATATTCTATATAACATACCTGATTTAGCCTTTTAATATTCTATATAACATACCTGATTTAGCTTTTAATATTCTATATAACATACCCAATTTTACCCTTTTTATATTCCATATAACATACCTGATTTAGCATTTTCATATTTTAACTGTTTTTGTTTAGGAGACTCTTCTACCTTGCGTCTTTTTATCTCCTATAATATAAATCTATACAAACAATTATGTTTTATTCAGTAATTTTCAAAAATGTTTATTGTATGAAGTAATATTTGTATTTTAAGTCCATTTGATTACCATACAGTGTCCAAATAAACAGTAGAACTTCTACATGGCAAACTTCTATAAGTTGATTTTCTTGTTCTGTCGAAGCAAAATGAATGTGCATATTGTTTCCCCATTATTCTTTATAGACTATCAAACTCCACGAGTCGGATAGCTGTTAGTTAGGCATTTTCTTCTTAAATATAGGCTATTTTTTATCACTACTCTTGCAATGTACACGTAAGACCTAAGGTCTAGCTGGTCAAGTTTTTTCTTTACACATATAGTTAAAAACAATGACACACCTGGGGCAGGGCCAATTTGGACCCAAGGGCTTTTATTTGAACAATCTTTGTAGACACTTACTAGAAAATGTTTCATGCTTAATATCTGAACTCTAGCTATTCGGATTTTTCGAAGAAGATTTTTAAGTTTTTGCTATACACATATAAGGAAAATCAATGCCCCCTGGGGGGGGGCCAAATTTTGCCCCCAGGGTTTTTATTTCAAAAAATTTGTAGACACTCATTTAGAAGATGTTTTCATGTTTAAATACCCTAAACTTTTACAAATTTGATTTTAACCCAAAGAGATTTTTTAATTTTTTGTTTACACTAAAAGGAAAAATTTAAAGCCCCCGGGGGGGGCCCAAATTTTTGGGCCCAAAAGGGGCTTTTAATTGGGGAAAACTGGTGACATCCAAAAAAATTTGTTTCTTTGAAAAATATCTTAGTTTCGGCCCTCCCAACGGGAAATTGAAAAATTTCAGGGGAAAAATTACCCCGGGGGGTTTCAAGGGGGTGGCGAAAACCCCCGGGTTGTTTGGTCCGGGGTTAGACCCCTGGGGGGGCCCGGGGGGGCCAAAGCCCCAAAAGCCCCTTTGAATTTGAATGATTTGGGGTTTGCCCTAAAAATCAATTTCCTGGACTCTAATTTGACTTCCTTGGTTGCCTTTAAAGCCATTCAGAGACACTTTAGTTGGACTTCAGGTTTTTCATCAGCCCTCAAAACAAATATCCGAACATTTTGACGCATTTTGACAACAGACAATAGCAAACAATGTAAACTGTAATTTGATTGTTTATTCTAAAATAAAAATGCCGGAAAAGACTCGATTTGACCAATGAGATAAGCGCTTACAGACGTACCATAGCTCTAGCTCTTTGGGAAATCAATGATCCCCCTAAGATATTTAAATTTTTTTTCTTTTGGTTGCCATGGCAACCAGAGCTTCTGCATGGAATTAAATTCTTTGAACAATTTTCAAAGGTGACCACCAAAGGAACATTCCTGTGAAGTTTGGATGAAATTGGCTTAGTGGGTTTATGAGGAGATGTCATTTAAAGCAAAAGTTTACGGATGGACCGAAGCCGGACAGACGCCCGGACGAAAAGCGATCACAAAAGCTCACCATGTCACTTTGTTACAGGTGAGCTAAAAACGTACCGTGTATAAACTGGAAACAAACAGTAATATAAGTACCTCTTTATTAACCGGAAACAAACAGTTATAGATATACCAGTGCATAAACCGGAAACAAACAGTAACATACCGTATATCAACCGGAAACAAACAGTAATGCATGTACTGGTGTAGCAACCGGAAACAAAAACAGTAATAGATATACAGGTATATCAACCAGAAACAAACAGTTATACATGTACCATATATTAACCAGAAACAGTCAAAAAATGTACCGTGTATCAACCGGAAACAAACAATTGAACACATATACCATATATCAACTGGAATCAAACAGTAACACATATAACATAACTTATATCAACCGGAAACAAACAGTGATGCATGTACTGGTAAAGCAACCGGAAACAAAACAGTAATAGATATACAGGTATTTCAACCAGAAACAAACAGTTATACATGTACCATATATCAACCAGAAACTGTCAAAAAATGTACCGTGTATCAACCGGAAACAAACAATTGAACACATATACCATATATCAACTGGAATCAAAAAGTAACACATATAACATAACTTATATCAACCGGAAACAAAACAGTGATGCATGTACTGGTAAAGCAACCGGCAACAAAACAGTAAACGATATACAGGTATTTCAACCAGAATTAATCAGTAATAGATATATACCAGTATATCAACCGGAAACAAACAGTAATAGATATACCCTATATCAAGCAGAAACAAACAGTAACGCATGTACTGGTATAGCAACCGGAAACAAACAGTAATACATGTACTGGTATATCAAAGGGAAACAATCAATTGAACACATTCTACCTCTTTTTGCTCTGTCTCAAGAACAGTAATTTTTCTTTTCATCTCTGTACGTTCTTTCTCAGCTTCCAACACCTGTGCTTTTAGTTCAGTAAATTTATGTTTGAGCTCCTCATATTCCTCTTTTGTTGCAGCATTTTCTTTGATTTGAGTCAGAATTTCTTTAAAGTCTTCAGTGGTAATAATAAATTCCTTCTTCTTCAGCTTATAACAAGAAACAATTTTCAAATGTAGCTGCTATTTGATATAAATTATTCATAACATATCATATACAAGACTACAAGGGTTGTCGGTAAGACAGTAATGCTCGACTATTCTTAGTGCTTGATAGTAAAAAAAACTGCTTGATACGGTTACCACCTCCTGTTTACAAGTTGGGGTCATAATGGTGAACAAGTGTTCAAAGTTTCAAAGCCATATGTCAATGGACTTTGAAAATATTTGAACTATTACAAAAACTTTAACGTAAATTCTAAGTCGAAAAAGGGGCACAATTATGTCAAAATGCTTGATAGAGTTACCTCCTCCTGTCTACAGGTTGGGGTCATGATGGTGAACAAGTGTGCAAAGTTTCAAAGCCATATGTCAATGGACTTTGAAAATATTTGAACTATTACAAAAACTTTAACGTAAATTCTAAGTCGAAAAAGGGGCATAATTCTGTAAAAATGCTTGATAGAGTTACCTCCTGTCTACAGGTTGGAGTCATGATGGTGAACAAGTGTGCAAAGTTTCAAAGCCACATGTCAATGGACTTTGAAAATATTTGAACTATTACAAAAACTTAAACATAAGTGGTTACGCCGACGCAGACGCCGATGCTCGGGTGACTACAATAGCTCTACTTATTCTTATCGCATAGTCGAGCTAATAAGGTCAAACTTTATATTTTAAAATAATCTCAATTTTTACTCTTATACTTTGTTACGACTTCTAAAATCAAGGCAGGATTTATCGTCAAATTTTTCTATTTTCATTTATTTCATCTTTTTCCTAATATTTACAAATAAAGATATGTATCAAAATAAGTAAATTTAGGACAGTTGTTTTAATGAAACAAATTCAAGCTCTTTTTTCTATTATCATAAAATTTACCATGAATTTAGAGGTGAGCATATTTTAATTATTTTAACATTAGATTTCAAACTTATAATATATTATGTACATCATTATAACTTAACTTAAGATTTCAAACTTATACTTTAATATGTACACTTACATCTTGAAGTTTAACAACAGCTTGTTGTGCATCTTGTCGATGTAAAAGTTCTTTACCATCTTGTAGAACAGCTATCATGTCATCAATATAACAATTAGCTTTGCTCTCCTCTAACTCCATATTGCTCGAGTGAAAAATTTCGTTTCGGTACTGCCGTACCTAATATAAAGAAAACAAATAATACAACATTCACATAAATACAGTGTTCAGCAATGAGACTAAACACAATTCTTAAGTTGAGAATTTAAAACTGTAATAAAGGAGTTACTTTAAAATACTTAACATAATAATCATTATTATTATTGTGTTTAAACTGCAGATTATATAAAAGCAAAGGGAATGGAAATATGTGTTTTGATAAATCTTATAATTACTTTACTGAAGTAACAGTATTAACTTGTCGCATTTGCTTATAAAGCACAAATAATTACTTCTGTTCATTTTACAGTAAAGCTTAAAAATAAAATATTTTTTGTTTCCCACCCATAAAAAATTACAGCTAGCCAAAAAATGTATTGCAAACAAAAAATATTTGTCAAGAAAGGTTAAGTAAGAAGAAAATTACACGTCAACACCAGGGATGTTTATTTTGTTTTTATTATCTACGGGTTTCGACCTACCGTGAGGTCTTCATCTGGATAAATTTTGACAGAATTTGGGCCTGAAAGTATATAAAAATGTGTAGGATGGTAAGTCACATGACTGACCAAATAGTAACAAAAAATCTAAAAAATAGAATAAGATTTGGCTCAGTGCCAGAAGTTTGTTAAGTCCATGTGTAATAAGTTAAAAATATCATAGTTTTACAGAGTCCAGTGCTTTCTGATTATTGAAAAAGTTCCATAAAAAAAAATACACAAATAAATTGTTCTTTTGTGTCACCATAAGTATTACTATTTCTATGTTATGCACTTTTTTAATGTAAAATATATGTTGGCATCAGTAGTTTTAATGTACAGTCTAGTATTTAGGTTACCGTTTAATCCTTTAAATATTTAAAATAAAAAAAGAGTTTTTTTTCATGGCTTTGGGGATTTCATTTTGTAATTTTTTTATAAAAGGGGTTGAAAAAAGTTCAAGTGGGGCCCAAATTTGGGAAAGGAAAACAATTCCCCACAAAAGATTGGGGGGCCCAAAAGGTAAAAAAGTCTCAAAATATCTTTACCCTATAAGTTTGGGTTTTTTTGTTGGTGGCAAAAAAATCTCTCTTCTAAATAAAGCCATGGAAAAAATAGGGATTTTCTGGGTATCAAAATCAATTTTGCTTTTTTCCCCCGGGAATTGGAAGTTTAGCTGATAACTTGGGCTTTTGGGATTTAATTAAATTTTAAAGGGTGGATTTTGTTTTTATGTTTCTTTTTTTCCAAATATAAAAATTATATTGTGTTCGGGGGTCTTTTTGAACATGAAGTTTCTTTGAGAATTTAAATCTTGAGACTTTCGGTTCGTCAATTTTGCGCTGTTTCTGACCTTCCGTTGTTTGTCTTATCTTCGGATTTAATTTAGACCTTTCCTGTCCTGGAAGTGTTGCTATGGACGTTGTTGCCGAAAGTAAATGTAATTCGGTTTCTGATTGGTCGGATTGTGTGAGTGAATATTTGTGAATACAATTTATGCATAACAATTTTGAATCACTATTCATAATGTGGCAAACTGTTTCTCTGACAAAAGAACTGCATTAACCTCATATTCACCTTAGTGCAGTAATGGGTAAACTCCTATAAAAAATTCAATAAGAGTTTATAACCAACAAGATATGTTTGTAAAACATGTATGCCCCCTATCGGAAGCCAATTAGTCATGTGATCAGGTTATTATGCATGACTTCTGACCCAGTGAACAAACAATTAATAAGGGTTATCTAGTATCTACTGTTCATGACTAGTCACAATGTAACAAGGTAATAATAATCATTGTGACCCCATAGGTTGTGTGCAGCAATTTAAGTTATTACAAATCTTACCAAATAATATATGCATAAATTTTTGTGAATCATGCAGGCCTCATTAATGACAGCCAAGTTGTTACATAAGACCTTCAAATGTGTATACCAAAAGCATTTTTAGTTTAATATAAAAATATCAACCAAGTCAACTTGAGTTGTTGAGTTATTGGTCAGAAACCGTCATTAAGTACAAAGTCAAAATGACATTGACCCCTTGACTCCAAAATCAATAGGGGTCACCTACTGGTCATGACCAATCACCATACCAAGTTTGATTGTTCCTAGGCCTAAGCGTTCTTAGTTATTGATTGGAAAACCGTTTTTACCTACAAGGTCAATGTGATCTTGACCTTTTGACCCCAAAATCAATAGGGGTCAAAACTGCTTTGGGCAAAGACCTCACCATACCCAAATTTAAGTTCCCAGGCCTAAAACGGCTTTAGTTATTGATTTTTGGAAAATGTTTTTTTCCCACAAAGGCCAATGTGACCCCTTAAAACCTTTTTACCCCCTTTAAACCCCCCCAAACAAAAAAGGGGTCATCTTTCTGGTTTTTGACCAAACAAACCCTACCAAGTTTAAGTTTCCCAGGCCCAAAAGGGTTTTTTAGTTATCACTCGGGGAAACCCTTTGGTTTACGGGGGCTATTTCCCAAAAGAATGCAAAGCAATATACCCCCCTTTTTCTTTTTAATGGGGGGCATAATAACTACCTACGGTAAATTTTTCTTTTGCTTTTATACGCAATTAACAGACAACATTTTAATCTTACAGTAAAGCCTAATATTCAACAAAATTTAAAATAAACATATAGTATACAAATGGAGTTACCTTTGAAAAAAGATTGTTTGGTCCTGTAACATTGCATCCAATGTGACTATGAAAGTACTTGTTATTTATGATAACATGAAGCAACCCAGTGCAATCAGTGTCGACTGCTGATGTCTTGTCCTTGTACCCAGGAGCATTTATAAAACATTTGCAAACCTCCCACGGTTCTGTTGACCACTGTTGGACATCACTGTTTTTCCAAAAAGGTGCCGGTGGTATTGATGCATGATACTGTATAATGCTGTCATAGATGGCACCGCATATGTTGTTTGGACAGGGTCTCTTATTATTAGGAAAGCAACAGTTACATTTATCTTGTTTGAGGGGACATATCCCTTTTGAGACTCGGACATGATCTGGCTGGAGAGTTGTTATCTGACAGGCGCCACATGGTATGTTTGGTTGAGGAGTCTTTGTTTGTTGTATTTTGTTAATAATATCGTTGTGCTGCTGTCTTCCAATGTCATCACAAAATGGTGCAAGTCCCTCTTTAAGATAACCCAAGCCTAGGCCAGCCTTAACCCACTGCCGGTATTTGTTATTCTTTAAATGTATCTCATGTGCCATCTTGATTTCTAAAACAAACAAAAAATATTATTAGCTACAATTTGTAAGAATCCAAGGAAAACCAACATTAACTATGACTGATCACAAACACTTGTATGCCCTGAAAGCTGGCCCCAGTTAAGGGACCATAAACTTTGACTTACAATGAAGGCATTGCTACTATCACTAGAGGGCCATATTGGCCCCAGATTGCTCATCTAAGATTCGTTGTAAGAAATAGTCATCATATAGTACAGAAGTAGATATTATTTGTTCCTCATTGAGCAGCCAAAATCAATTCAACCATTTCTATGTCTCAAGTAGAACTTGAAAGACATGTTAGATGTCATCTCGAGACATTTTTTGTGTCTGTTTTTCTTTGGAATTATAAGCAAGGAAACTTTATAAACCATAAAAGAAATAAGAAACATATATCTCAATATCAATTATAAATCTACTTTCCATAAATGTACAGTACAGCTTAAACAAATTAATAAAGTCCGCCAATCACTGCGATTATTTTACGGTTGGATTGTCACGGCAACGTTCCTGCTACATTATCACCTGATCGGGTTGCAATTTGTGCTGCGGAATATCGTCACTGTTGATCACTGTGAAATATTGCAGGGACATTCCGCTCTCTTGGGTGACCAATGGTCAATTTATTACACACGGTAATTTACTAAATACATTATGTACATTGTACGTCTGAAAAAAAATAACACACCCAGCATTTGTCTTCTTAAATTTCTAAAGGGCAGATAATTGCCCCTGTTTTAAAAATTTTAAACTTTAACAAAAATTCATTGCAGACTGTCAATATTCAATTGTGCGAAAATACACGAAAACACTCGCCAACAAAGTAGCATCAATAAATAAATGAGATATAATCATATGTTTCCAACTTAAACAAGAGCCATGTCAACATGGCCATACCCCGCCGAATGTGTTTGCTCATTGGAAGAATGTATATGTAGTAGAGCAGAATAATTCCATTTTAAGAGGTCTTTTGGTAATGAAAAGTGATGGCTATAGTGATTACAGATTTGAAACCTATGTGAATACTGATGGCTGAAAATAACAAAGGGCAATAACTGAAAACTAATGCAGGGTAGGTTATCATTCTTGTGTGCTGCATCCCTCCTCAGTAAAATCTATCCACCTATGAAGTTTAAAGTTGATACCTCAAATACTTTTTGAGAAAAAAATGGAATTGAAAAATTAAGTATGAAAAATAACAAAGGGCAATAACTCAAAAATTATAAAAGGTAGAGTTATCATTCTTGTGCACTGCACACCTCCTGAGTTAGATCTATGCACCTATGAAGTTTCATAATGATATCTCAAAGGCCTTTTGAGTTATGCTCTGGACAAAAATTAATTTTGAAAAATAAAAAAGGGCAATAACTAAACAATTATGCAGGGTAGAGTTATCGTTCTTGTGCACTGCACTCTTCCTCAATGAGATCCATCCACCTATGAAGTTTCAAGTTGATATCTCAAATACTTTTTGAGATAAGCTCCAGACAAAATAGTATGAAAAAGAACAATGGGCAATTACTAAAAAATTGTACAGGGAAGAGTTATCATTCTTTTGCACAGCATTCCTCCTCAATAAAATCTATCCACCTATGACATTTCATGTTGACATCTCAAACACTTTTGAGTTATGCTCCACTCGGGTGAAAAATTATGTATGAAAAATAACAAAGGGCAATAACTCAAAAATTATAAAAGGTAGAGTTATCATTCTTGTGCAGTGCACACCTCCTGAGTGAGATCTATGCACCTATGAAGTTTCATTTTGATACATGTATCTCAAAGGCTTTTTGAGTTATGCTCTGGACAAAAATTAATTTTGAAAAATAACAAAGGCAATAACTCAAAAATAATGCAGGGTAGAGTTATCATTCTTAAGCACTGCACTCCTCCTCAATGAGATCCATCCACCTTTGAAGTTTCAAGTTGATACCTCAGATACTTTTTGAGATAAGCTCTGGACAAAATAGCATGAAAAAGAACAAAGGGCAATAACTCAAAAATTGTATAGGGAAGAGTTATCATTCTTGCGCACAACATTCCTCCTCAATAAGATCTATCCACCTATGACATTTCATGTTGATATCTCAAACACTTTTTGAGTTATGCTCCACTCAGATGAAAAATTAAGTATTAAAAAATAACAAAGGGCAATAACTCAAAAATTATGAAAGGTAGAGTTATCATTCTTGTGCACTGCACACCTCCTGAGTGAGATCTATGCACCTATGAAGTTTCATGTTGATATCTCATAGGCTTTTGGAGTTATGCTCTGGACAAAAATCAATTTTGAAAAATAACAAAGGGCAATAACTCAAAAATCATGCAAGGTAGAGTTATCATTCTTGTGCACTGCACTCCTCCTCAATGAGGTCTATCTACCTATGAAGTTTCAAGTTGATAACTCAAATACTTTTAGAGATATGCTCCGGACAAAAATGTCGGACGGAAGGACGGACGGAAGGAAGTGCGGAAGGTCGGACGGACGGACGGACGGAGACTATTTCTATATCCCCCGCCGCCTTTTCGGCGGGGGATAATATAACATACCAGTGATTTATTTAACAGACTCCGAAAAAGTCAATTGAAATTTTCTTTAAAATCATGCAGTTTTCCCAAAAATCTGAACTTAAACCTGCTTTTTTTCTTCCCAAATAAGCAATTTTAGCGATAATTTTTCCCAAATTAAAGAAGCTAAGGCCTCTTCCCAATTAAGCAAGAAAAATCATTGCATACGCAAAATTTACACACATGATGACCTCTTGACAATTGACTAGTCTGCTCTTCAAAAGAATCTGCCAATATTTGATGTTGACACATGTGTATTCCCTACCAAAGAAGTGCCGACACTCAAATGACTTCCATCCATCTGATGAGCCCTAATTATCCCTAAAATTTCCCACCAGGATCGATGATTAACTTCTACAATAACTTTTGATGGAATAGATGGTATTTTACACGTGTCAATGCTTTTTACGAACCCGTGCTGGTAATGGGAGGCCACAACTTGTATGCCTTGTTTATATTATATACATGTATATAGGGCCAAGGGGTGTCATCGATTCAATCGATATCGGTGTATCAACGATCTTTGTTATCCGATTCGATATCGATTCCATTTTTTAAATATCGGATATCAAATGCACATATATTTCTAGCTAAAGAGACTTCAGCGAACAGTTTTTATAGAACTGATAGACCTGTTTACTGTTGCAAAACGTCAAAATAAAAGCAACATATAAAGTTATGGAAGCCAGAAACAATTTTTTTTTAAATGAAAACGGAAATCAATGCCAAAGTTACCTCCCAGTGTCTCTAACGAATGCTGCCTAATTTCGTTGTAATCTCACATGCGTGCTAAGTGAATGTTAAGACCGCTCAATTCAGATTTCAAAAGGGAAAATGCCAAGAAAATTTGTCAGCGTTAAACTTTAATAATTAATCAGGTTCTAAACACTATAATTTGCCAATTAAACCTGGCTTAATTTGAACGGCAATGACGGGATTTAGCATTATCAGTAACTATGTAATAGCAACAACAACAACTAAAGTAAAATGGAAAAGGCTTTAAACTTTCTAGTTACTAATCATTAGTTTTTATTTATAGCTATATGGTAAAAAAAAGAAACAAATTGTTCAGTTTTCATAGTTAATCATTTTTGCATTTGTCTAAATATAACTGCTTTGTCAGAGTCCTTAGGAAAGATTTAAAAACACTTGAAAGCTAAAATTTAGCCTGGCAATCGATATATCGCTGTATCGCTGATAATTCATTACCGATTTATCGATACAAAAATCCTTATCGATGACACCTCTACATGTATATGGATTTAATAAAATAAGGCCAGATTTACCTATGCGCGTCTGTGGCACTTTTCAGAATGTCTGAATTTGGTCAGATTATGGACAAATTTTAGTTACATTATTGTTATAAATTGGTTAAATTGAGGTCAGAAACTGGTTAGATTCAGGTCTAAAATAATTAAGGAACGGAAAAATTGGTTTATAACTTCTACTTTCGTTTTCACCAAACACCTTTTGGTCATAGGGACTCTGGAACAGGACCGCATATTGCGGTGCATAAATCCGGATTCGTACCGGCTTTACAAATTGTCCGACCTTTTAATATCTTTTCATATTATGCGAGCGGGTGGTCTTTAATTATCTAATCTCAATTTAATATAATCTGCAAATTTAAAAATCAGTGAAATTTACGGTATATTGAAAAAAGAAAAGGAGTGACATCCGCCATTTGCCGCAACGTTCGGCGTAAGTTATCCCCCTTGATATGCTTGATTTTTGTTTTAATTTTTCTAGTACTCTCTTTATGTCACTCAATACATGGGAAACTTTCACATTTCCTAATAAGGAATACCAGATGAGTGCCTTGAATATTTATCTATGGATCATGTTTTAATATTCCTTTTTTTCAGTTAGGCAAAATCTATTAGACCATATTACTAAAATGTCTGTTTTCTCCATGTAAACAAATCATAACACGAATACGCCCGTTATAATGCCGACTATACATGTCAAACACTAGTGCATGTCAACACGTGTAACAATAAACCGTTACGATACCTGATAGTTGACAACGATAACGGGAACAAAATTCTGAAAAAATCAGTCTTTCCGAAAGACCGTCGGACCTGACCGGTAAAAAATCAGAAGGTCCGATAAAAATATATGTTTTGACGGCCCGACGGTCCGGTAAAAATTAAGGATTTATAAAAACCTTACATTGAACATTTTGTAAAGGCCGATCATTTACCTACATTCAAAACAAATCAAAATGTTGTCATTACACAATATAAGCTCGTGCAATGCTTGTCAACTGTTATGCATTCTCATAATGCAAACTTTAATGTAACAACGTAAGATAAAAATATCCGACAACTAGTACAATTAAAAGTCAATAAGCGGCCGTGTAAATTACATAAGCGGCCCAGATGTGAAAGGTCAACCACTATTAGTTTGTTTACACAGATGA